TTTCATCTGCTGTTTTCACAAAAGTCATCGTTTTATTGTACTTCTTGGCAAAATGGGGTATAAAACACTCAAGCAGCTTATTATTGTGCACTTGGTATTTGTCTTTTTTTTTAAAGAATCAGGGTTCTGCAGTGATGCAGTGCTGTCCCTTTATTAGTCATACGTTGTCTCTGTGCCAGCTTCTTTGGCTTCCATCTCTTTTCTTCTCTTTTTTTTTCTTCCCACCCCTAATCTCCCCTCCATATTGCCTCATTCTCTCTCACACATTTTTGTTCCCCTGTCATCCCCCAAGGTGACTTTCCTTCCTTCACAGACACTGCAGCTGTTCCTCGCTTTTGTTCTGAAAGGCCTGAGAGTGGATAAGAGATGAGAGAGATGCAGACCAGCAGCAAAAAGAGAAGGAGAGAATCAGAGTGTGGAGAACGGAGGGGAACTGATGAGATTATCAAGCAGGTTGTGGAGGAACATTCACAGTTTTGACTAAGTTCACAAATCAGTAAGGCAAAAATCATTCATGCACAAACCCGCCACGTGCGCTGACAGCTTTGACAACATCAAGAGCTGCTTGCACAGATGCTTACCTTACTAACATGTTTCATCTTCATTAGCACTGGTGATTAGCACAGTTGTCACACTTCAGTGAGACACGGTGAAAGATCTCTGCAGTCAGCAATAAATGTTGCGAGTAACTGGGACGAAGTGTCTAAACTTAGGAATCAGAGAAACAGGGGCTCAAGATAGGAAATGTAAAAAAGAGAGGAAGGGACAGCTGAAAAAAGTGAGAAGGATTTAGACATTTGGGTTCAAAAGATAAGAGATGGAGAATTTTCCAATCCTAGTCTCCAGGCCACTACTATCCAGCATGTTTTACTTGCTTCTCTGCTCCAACACATGATTCAATGGTTAAATTACCTCTGCATGTTCTGCAGGAGTTTGTTCATCTTCCATTGATTCAAATAAGGTGTGTGGAGCGGAGAGACGTCGCAAACATGCAGGGCCTGGTAATGGACACTCGTGGTCCAAGGCTTATACTGACGCCACAATAGTGATTAAGCGCAATTGCACATTTCAGTTGTATTTTTTAGGCTAATATATCGTATCTGTCGGCCTATAAGTCACAGTTTTTTGCATAATTTACATGCCCAAGTGACTTATTTAGAGTTTTTACCCCATATTTATAAACCAATTTCTGGCTGAGATAGGACAGTTTTCATTCATTCTGACATTAAAAATGTTGAACACTACCATTTTCAGCCGCTAGATGGCACTCACGAGCATGGCATGCCATCGTGTCATGTAATAGGTAAAAGTGGCTATTAATGACACAATCGGTTTCCCATATATGCCACCTTCGTCCAGCTCTAGGATCATGCCTGGAGCAACTGCCAAATCAGCTTCATTTTGCTGCCACCCCCCCCCCCCCCCCTCCAGTGAAATGCAGCTAATTTGACCATTAAAGTGAATTTATTAAGTAAAAGTTCATCTGAGACACACCTTTGCTATAATGTCAAGCAAACAAATTATTTTTTTAGGTGCCTGTTTTGTTAAGTTTCGAAGACATGCACAGCGTTCCTCCTTCCTGGTTTCCTCCCTCTGCGTGCTCACGGAGCACCGAAGCAGCAGATACTTTTGGAATGCAGCTGATTTTACCATTTAAAGGCATTTATCAAGGAAAAGTTAAACTGAGACACACCTTTGCTCTAATTTTGATCCAAACAAATAATAGTTTTTAAGTGTTAATCTTGTTCAATTCTTGTTGAAGTCCTCCTGTGCACACTCCTGCGGCCATTTGGCAGCCAATCGATTTTTGGCACAACATGGCCCACAAGGTTGTCATCGGTGACGCATAATTGATGCGACTTATATGGTGAAGTGACTTATTTATGTTTTTTCCACTTTATTAGACATATTTGAACTGATGTGACTTATACGGCGGTGCAACGTTTACGATGGAAAATACGGTAATAAGGATGAAACAATAATCTAATTCTGTTTTAGGTTGTCTTTAATGGATCACAACCTTCTTAGTGCTTAATGAATTTCAAGAGCTTATATTAATATTGGACCTGTTATAGATATGTGTTTAAATCACCTACGTTTAGAGAAACAGATTTTAATTCTGACCAAATCGAGGAGCCTTGTTTGAGTGGGGCCAAAACCAAAGTATATTTTTGTCCTTAAACATTTTTATTCAAAATAAAATATACTAGTTCAGGAAAATATTTCTTTAAACCATTGTACTGCAGTCAGTTTTACACTACATAGTTATTTTTGCAGAAAAATTATAATGTTCCTATCTTAAGGATAAATCACAAGGGCTACAGCTAACTGCTGCTGCTGTTCACATTTGCAAAGAACCATAATATTATATGTTTTTTAAATACTCATGAAATGCAAATATTAATAAAATACACACATACTTGCATACTTTTCCTATGCACATTACAGCAGTTCTTGCAGTTGCATGGATACTGTATGTATGGAGGAAAAAAACTTCTATAAATAAATAAATTAGTAATTGAAAAAAGTTAAACAGTTAATAAAATAAACAGTGAGAACAAAAATCTATTAATACACACGGTGAACTGATATAGACTTTTTAATACAGATTCTGCTCTGTTCTATACAATAGCACATAATATAAATATTTTACATTACTAATATTTTTCTATACACGTGGTCATAGATGTAAATTACAGTATACACATACACACATACAGTATTAACACAAATACACTTACATGTGGTTTTATTTTTATATGCTTTAACTCTCCAACTCGCTACGAGTTTATATCACAATGACTGTTTTTCTGTCCTGCAGATGATTGTGACCAAGGAAAGGGTTTTTTGCCTAAAACCCAAAACAAACAATTAAGTATTTACATCCCTGAAAAATATACATGAATACACAAGAATTATTGTTTGGCTGTTTGGCTCACAACTAGTGTAAAAGGGGTGAGAGTAAAAGAGGAGCCCAAAGAGCTGTCCAAATTTTGAGTCCATACAAAGTCAAAGTGGATTTAATCTACTTCAGTGACATAAACAGTAGTGGTCTACTCTAACACCCAGAATACAACAGCTGATTGAGGGCTGGTTATATTTCTTTTTAGTCCCGCAAGTTTGGAAACAAGACACAAAGCCCTGAGGAGAAAGAGAGACACAAATATAGCAGAACATGTCCAGGATTTAGTCCAGAGGCTGTTTAGCTCTACAGTCATTCAAAATGCTGTCCAAAAACAATTAATTAAATAAATAAATAAATAAAAACACCTTCGTAAAACAGCTAGTTAGTACGAAGATGTGTCCATTTTCAGTGTCTGTTTTCATGCTGGGATCCCTTGTGTTCAGGTTTGCAAGTTAACCAGCACTGGCTTTAAAAAAGTTTTCACAAAGTATTGCCCTTTAATTGTCTCTTTAAAACTGTAGTGATGAAGTTTAGTGGGTTTTTTTTTGTATACACATAAATACAAATGCCCAAATAAATATCCTTTTTTGAACATCCAGTAGCCCCAGTTGTTTATCACAAGATAAACTGCTTTGTTGTAGTATTTTCTCCCAGTAATCTACAGTACTGTGCAAGCTTTTTAAACCACCCCTGACTTGTTTGTACTTTGCTTCCAAGGAACTTTCTTATACTCTTTTAAAATATTCATCATCAACAGTTTTCTAGGATTTGTACTTTATATTTTCCCCATATTTTCTGTTCAGTTCTAGTAAATGACCATGACAATACTATAAAGTGCTTAAAAATGTACACATTTTCACAAGATATCTTTTTGGGAATCACCTTGTTGGTTTGAAATTATTATTTTTATACTTTTCAAACTGTGTAATCTTTCTATGTTTTTATAGATTCAGCTAAAAAAAAACATGGGTACCACTTTACAATAAGGCTCCACTTTATGGCTAATAAATAGTTTATAGATACATTATTAATTCCTCTATAAACACTTTATAAGTCATTAATAATTGTGTATTATGCATTAATTAAGGGCAACAGAGATACAAAACTGACCAGTGTCTTGTCAAATAGTGAGCCAAATCTGTTCATATATTTCATCTTGTCATATTAAACATTACAGACTAAGCTACTACCTTGTAAGCACAATAATAATTTGTAAACCTATTTTTTTAGGATATAATATTGTACTTTATCACTGCATTATAAGTATCTACATCTAATATTATATCCTAAAAAATAGGTTTACTTATGCTTATTGTTCTCACAAGGTAGTAACTTAGTCTGAAATGTTTACTATAACAACTCCTTTAAGTTTCAGAGCCATTGTATGTTTAAATGATTCATAGGTCAGATGTGAGTTGCTCATCATAGAAGCAAAACTTTCTTCTGAAATGGTCATTTACAGGGACTGAAAATGAATGCAAAACCAGCCAAAATTCACAGAAAAACTCTGAAAGGCCTTTAGAAAACCTACAGAAATATTGCTTTATATTACTTTGAAAGATTGCAGGACAGTCTGCCACCTCAGAAACAAAACATAAAGAAATGAGAGATGGCTCAAGATGTTTGCACATCACAATTCTGTGTTCACATTCTCTTTGTTCACATCGTATGGGTCATTGCTTTGTTCATATTTTATTGCACATTGTCCTGGACAAACAAGCATTTCTTCATTAATGCAATTACAGATTTGTTGCAGATGGGCCTGCACAAATCTGTGAACATGCAACCTCAAATCACACAAACTTCCATTGTCATAATTATCATAGTTTACTTGAAAAAATAAAATAAACATGCCTTTTAATGTTGTCACACAATCTTCTAAAACACAGTATGGTGCTGACTGGAAATTACATAGAAATGAGTTTGTTTTTTTGGTTTAATTTTTGTTGTGATTGTTTTTTTTTGTTTGTTTTTGCTGTTTAATTTTAAATAAGCCTGTAAACTTTGCTATACCCTTAACAGATACATTGTTGTAAACATATAGCCAGACCATATAGTCAGCACCATAACAACATACTTTTAACCAATTAAGGCATGAAAAAAATGAAAGAGAAAGAAGTCTGCTATTTAAATCATTGTCACTGAGAACATCAGTGCAGGTAGATATTCGTGTGCTTTCACAGATAGTGACTAAATAGATCAGTGTGTCTGTGTCTGTAACTGCATATGTACATGCACATGCAGTTCAAAGTGCACACAGGAGTAATATTGTACTGCATGTATTTGCAATTATCTATACCTTACTTTGCACAAAGGGTGAACAATAGTATTTTGAGTAGTCATGGCTAGGTTGTCATAATGCTTGGCTATTGTTGCCATAGCAATTTATAAGCAGTCCAAGGTGGACTAACAGCAGCCCATGTCAGGAGAGCAAAGAGCATCTCTGGGAAGAGCTCAAGGCTCACCTGTTTCCTCATCTGCAGGGGTTTGTCCTGACCTTTGTAAACAAACTCCTGCTCATTTGTCCTCACACCCACGCATAAATGCTCACACAATTCATCTGCATCAGCTTAGTAAGGTACCAACAATTCTTTAAAGTCACACAGAACTCTCAGACATGCAACTGCACTTTGAAGTCCAGACTCATTCCCTCACCGCTTCTGTGAGACATCGATCAGTGCCATCGCTGGCCTCCATTTTTGACTTGCGACCCTTTCTCTGGCCTCCCCCCTCCACCCAAGAGTTATGAATCACAGTTCCTCCACTGGGAGCGGGGTCCACCTGTAAAAGGGACACTACCCTTTTCTTAACGCGTGTTTTGAGGGCACGCCTTAGTTTCTGCCGGGTAAAAGCATAGAGCAGAGGGTGAAAGATAGTAGTTCCATATGCCATGGCCAGGAAGCACAAACGGAGCTCCACAAGGCTGTCACTGGGACCCATACAAAGGATGAGAACATTGACTGCAGACAGAGGGGCCCAGCAGCCCAGGAAGGTGGATATGATGATGAGGGACATTTTCAAGACACGTCGTTGACGCTCCCGTCTGTCCCTATGCCTGCGCACCGCCCGTCTCAAAGCAATGATAGCAGACACGGAGGCCTGCACACCCATGGATGAGGCAGGCAGTGGTGTGGAGGCGTGGGTCTGAGCTGATGCTGTAGGTGGAATTGGAGAAGCTGGTGTGGCTGGTGTGGTAGCAATGGGTGTGGTAGCAGCAGTGCTGACAGTGGTTACTGTTGGACCACTGTCGGACAACCCTAGGGGCATGGAAGAGAACGGCGGAGGTGATGTTGGTGTTGGTGTGGCAGAGGGAATAAGGGGCGGATGATTGAGGTTCTGGTTCTGATTGGAGGACACTGTTTCAGTCGGCAGGCTAAGGTCCTTCCTCATTCGCCTCCTGCAACGTATCCTGCAGGTCTTGTCCTTTGATCGTGTATTCCTCATCATGTGGGAGCCAATGCGGATGTTGAGGGCCTGTAAGATCCTGGAGTAGGTGAACAGCATGGCTACCACAGCTATGAAGAAGCAGGGCACTTGGAGTAACAAGTGGTAATATATAGCCATGCCTGTGTAATACCCCTGCCCTCCAACACACAGCAGAGTCCTGTTCTGCCATACTGGTGGGTGGTGTGAAGGAGATGAAGGCAGAGTGGAGGGTAATAAAGGAGAGCTGGAGGATAAAATGGGCGTGTGTCCAGTATTGAGTTCTGACTCATTGCTTTGCCTGTCTGGCTCGTCGTCCTCACTATTCTCATTTGCTGAGAAGAAGTCCCCTTCAAGAAAAGGCAAGAAGAAAACCGCCAGAGACACAGCCCACACCGCTGCCAGGAGCAGTGCAGCCCGTCTGGGAGTCAGCAGACGACTAGCCGGACGCACAGAGATATCGTAACGATCCAAACTGATCACTAACACATTGACTGCTGTGGCCACACTAGTGAAAGTGACACAGGCTTCATGAAAGCAACAAAGTGTGGCCAGGCTGCTGACTCCATTTTCATTAGCTGGTAGGAGGATCACAGCAACTGTAAGAGGCAAACAGAGCACGCACACCAGAATGTCGAGCACGTGGAGGTTGACCGTGACAAGGTTGCTGACTGAATCTACCAGGTTTGACTGAGCACAGTAGAGCACAAGTACTGTCAGATTGCTGCTGAAGCCCAACACAAGCTCCAGCATCAGCACAGTGGTTAAAGACACCTGAAAACCGAGAGGGTATGATGTGCTCCAGCCTTCCTCCACACCCACCTCCCCCACTCCATCCAGTAGGCCTACCCCCTGACCATCGCTGGTCTCCAGGAGGTCACGATAGCCTTCGGTCTCCATTGATGCCACAGCAGTTCTTCATGCATAGCAACATTGGCCTCCAAACCAGACCATGGTCTTGATTTCCTTTTCCTCTGACTCAGATGAGACAGGGGTGAAGATGATAACCAAAGCTGTGGTGGTATCTACAAAACAGAAAGCAGAGGGAAAAAAAGAATGTGAGAAAAAATACAGAAAGGAGGACAGAGAAGAAACAAGAACTGTGGCACTCAGTTTACTATACATTTTTTAAAATCTATACTGTACAACAGGTTCAAGTTGACACACTGAGATGAAAGTGATATTGGTGCTGTTTAGATGAGCCATGATCTTTAATAGGGCTCAGCAGTTGAACATTTGGAGATGTTTCAGAGAGAGAGAGAGGGTTTCATGCAGGACTTCTCCTTGTAGGAGATTTACATGAATGACTTTGCTCAGATCAGAACTTTAGGGAGTTTGCTATTGATAGTGAATTTCATACCTCAAGTCAAAATTGCTCAGTTCATTATGAGTGTGAAATATCACATAGATGTTTTCATGTGGGAGTCAAGCTAGTACAGTAATCCCTCGCTACTTGGTGGTACATTTTACGCGGACTCGCTCTATTACGGTTTTTCAAAATAAGATTGGACATGACACACAGTTGGCTGATTGATGGATGAGCCGCATGGTCGGCATGGGATTTTTATTCAAAATAAATTATTTTAATATTTTTATTTAATGTTTTTTAATTATTTTAAATTATTTAGCACTTGCTGCACCTGTATGCAGCCCACAGCTGCAGGAGAAGCTTCTTCCTGCAATATGTCAGATCTCCACTCTGTGGAGAAGTGGGCGTGGCTGAGAGAGCTGGCGGGTGGCAGAGAGCTGAGATCATGACATGCTGTGCTCTTTTAGAACATTTAAAGTTTATAAAATTGTTAGGAACATTGCAAGAGTGTGGGAAAGGTTTTAAACACCTTAATATAGTATATACCTGTACATAAATACTGAAATAAACCACTACTTACTACTACTACTACTACTTGTGTGCACAATATCATTCCATCTCATTCACCACATGAGATGGATGACAATAAAGTTTACTTGAACCTGAACTTGGACTACTGTGTCCCTACTTTGCGTTTTTTCACTTATTGTGGAAGGGGGGCGTGATCCCAAACCCCCACGATAAACGAGGGACTACAGTATCTAATCTGTGTGGCCAAGACCAAAATGAATTAGTGTCATCGTAAAACAATCCTGATCCCAAACATTTCATAGCTGTTTAGGAGAATGCTTTTGTACAAACTTTGAAGAAATTTAAGAAAGTACTGTTTCATTGGTTTTATTTTACACTGCTTTACTTTACAAACACATAGTCATGTTAAAAATCTTTAATCCTTATTTAATTTGAACATTTAATGTTTTTTTTTTTTAATGTCACTGTGTTCCAGAGTTACTGTCATACAGTATATTTTGAAAGACAACTTTCACATGAACCATAGCTGCTGGTAACAAACCAGACTGACTCAGTCTTCAGCATAAAAACCTAGAATCTTCTATACAAATAACTGATGCAGATATGACAGCCGTGCAAAAGTTCATACAATAACACTGACATGAAATGCTAAACTTTTGAGTTTGGAGTTTCGTAAAGACTGATTTTGTTGTGGCTCCACTCCAAGAATAAATCTTCTGCCTGGTGTTTTAAGAAAATTTACTTTTTTTTGTTATTTATTTATATATTTTTTACAAATTTTACAATATGTTTAATTCTGTTACTAAAGAAGCAAACTTTTCTTTTAGGCACGAGTGGGTGGATGCTTATTTCGCTCTTGCTCTACATGAATTATAGAGTTCAGAAATTGTGCATCCAGGCCAAAGCATTTGAAGATGATAAGAAGTCATGCTGACATGTCAGTGACTAACAACATGATGTCTAGAGTTGTTTGGTCTCACGAAAGCTGTGTCTTAATGATTGACAACCAAGTGAAGACAAACTATGAAGATTTCTTTTTATCCACAAATGCCAGCTTTTGTCTCCACAAGGAAAGGTGGCAAGGACATTGTTGGACAGGTGAAACATTTCCAAAAAAAAAAAAAAAGAAACTGTCCAGATGACCTGACTAAAAATTGTTGGATTGTATACCTGGATGATTGAGCATGAACTTTATTGTTGGCCAGTGCATTTCATGTCAACACTGTGAGTATCCAACAAAAGGTGCAAGAAGCTAATAGTTCTCACTCAAAGATATAATGAAGACAAATGGATTGATGATTCATGGACAGTAGTACACAAAAAATGTCATCAGAGAAAGTGCAGCACAAAATACACATCCTTTTACACTCTTCACATATTTTCCTATGTTGATCCCATTACAATTTGTGAATTATTTATGCAATGGGGAAATAGTTCTTAAGAAACCCTTTAGATAAAAGATAGAAAATAAAAAACAGATATCTTTGTGTCTGGAAAAAAAAAAGTTAGAGATATTTACGTGACCCCTAGTCTTTGCTGTTAGCCTTTTCTGTCACAGCCTTTGGTCGCACCAGCCTATTCTCCATTTGTTTTCCTTCACAGTTTTCCCTCCCGTTTTATCTTGTGGAAAGGACCTGGAGGCAGAGCAGGACTCAGTGTGGAACAGAGGTCTATCTTAATTCACTAATGGGTTTCATGGGGTTTGCGGTGGTGCTGGAACATTGATTTAAAGCATCATCGACCTGCCAATTTAACAAGCCTGAGGAAAGAAAGCACATGAACTCACTCCCTTTTACATCTTTTCCTGTGTACTTATCTCATTTTGAGTGTTGCAAAAAAAAACCAGTTGGTGCTTTATGATTTTAACACCAGATGTTTTAGATTTTTAAACATTTATTAAAGTATAAATACATGCTTTATTAGTGTTTGAAGTCTTTCCTCAGTGAGTCATTTAATTTCACAAACTTGACTGTGGTCACAAAACTTTTCAAAACTGTCTGCGATCCGAAATCTTTAATATGTTTGTTCAGTATAAATCGTAAGTGGGGCTACAGAAGATCATGAATCAGAGAAAAGTAAAGGCAGCATCAATCAATTTCACCAGTTTTAGAGGAAGTTACAAGTCAAGCAGTGCTCTCCAGCATATGTGCTGTGATAAAAGACAGACACGGTGATAAAAGTCATGAGCAGAACTACAAAAGCAAATACAAAAATTCAATTTTTTCCCGTTGAACATTCTGACAATCAACCATCGTCTGATTATTTTTTCCACAGATTCTCTGTCAACAAAACAGTGAGTAATTGGCTGTGCTACTTTGCACTCAATCTATTTTTATCAAATATCAGGACTTGTTTCTCCCCATTCTCCTGCAAATAATTACAAGATGATTGTGTACTGAGCAGGCAGAATCGCTTTTAACAACTTAAAAAAAAAAAAGTATATCGAAGAAAAACAAAGGACACGCAGTGAGCTCTGTAATAAAGGATACTCAATTCTCTGATGATCTGATAAGAGCTACAAAGGCTCTCAGACAAAAGAGTGAAAAGGCTTCAAGCAAGACCAAATGTCAAATGCCCTTCATGGAAGCAGATGTGACACTGACCCACGGGCAGTAAAAGTCACAATATTCCAGTGTGAAAGGGACATAAGAGTTAAATCAACATAATTAGACAGGGTGGTGAACTGTTGGCTTCTGCAATAATCAGCCGTGTTTGTGGTTTTCAGTGTGTGGATAATCAAGTTCATCTGGGGTTGCAGATTAATCTTGTGCAATGTGTAGCTGTGGTAACTGAGAGAGAGGGCAAAGACACCGAGAAGTTGTTGCACTGCTGTGCGTGAAAATCTTTTGTATTTTTTAATGAGGTTTTCCTGTTATTGTTTTCTGCATGTTGCAATCTGGAAAAGTGTTTTTTTTTTTTTTTTTGGTATGAGCAAACTGGTGCAAGGATTTGTTGTGAGTAGGGGAGGTAGAATAGCTGGAAATTAGATGAAACTGCAATGTTAACGACATCCAGCGTGTCATTTTTGAGGTCAATCAGAAAGGAAAGACTTCAGACATGTACAACATATTCAACTCCAAGACATATCCAGAAATTAAGAAGAGACTTATTTATTTATTTTGTTTGCTGGTTCGAGGCAGTGCAGAGTGATGGATCCTCACGACTGGAGGAAGCTCGGGGAGTGGTGGCGCAGAGGTTAGAGAGGTGGTTATATATATAAAGTAGTACTTGGCTGCTTCGCGGTTCGTTTATCGTGGACTCGCTGTATAGCGGGTTTTTTTTAAGTAAGATTGGACATGACACACAGTTGGCTGCACGATGGGCATGGAATTTTTTATTTAAAATTAATTATTTTAAATTATTTAGCACCTGCTGCACATTTGTGCAGCCCATAGCTGCAGAAATAGCTTCCTCCTTCCCCTTTGTGCAGCCCACACTGCAGGATACACTTCCTGATGCAGCTGATCAGCTGTTCACCGTACAGAGAAGTGGGCGTGGCCAAGAACGATTGCAGGTGGCAAAGAGCAGAGGAGGCAGGGAGCTGAAATCATGACATTCCATGCTCGTTTAGAGCGTTTAGAGCAGGGGTGTCAAACTCACTTACAGAAGGGGGCCCAAATTAAAAACTTGGTTCAGACTAAGGGCCATTTTCAGAAACTGCATTAACTCAAGTCAGAAACCCAACATCTCCTCTTGGTCACATGTTCCTCAACAAGAGTTTGATTGGTCTCATTTGACATTCTCTGTTGTGCTTTCCACGTCATAATCAAAGATTACTAAAATAATTCAAGTGATAAAACTATTTTACACTTAACACATCTTGGGGGCTAGAGAAAATGTCAACATGGGCCACATTTGGCCCCCATAGCCATCATGCATTTTAACATTGTAACCCAATTTTTGAGTTACTTTTCTTATTCATATGCAGCCACACATGAAAATGGAAATTTTCGCCTCACTTATTCAAGTTATCATGCTCACACATATGGACGCATGGACTGATGGATGCACAGACGGAGGGAGTTTTCAATTCCCCCTCTTAGATCTGCAACAAGAGACG